CTCTGTAAAAAGCAATGGAAAAAATATCCTCAAGTGAGGATTAAAAAAAAAATCTGCTCTTGTATCAGAGCTAGAAAAGCCAGATATTTTTCAAATTTCAGATGGCTTTGCCTATAGAATAAGTCTGTATCTGCCTGAATGTTTTTGTTTTAAGTGAGGGATTAATTTTTTTGTTGCTCACCTGGAGAGTGTGATTTCAGTGGAACTATGAGCCAGCTGGAGTGTGAGCCAGCTGTTCTAGTAGGGTGGGGGTGGAACAAGGTGTGAGGACTTAAGAAAAAAAAACAGTGGTCTTTTCAGGACTGGATGAAATAACCAAGTGATTGAATATAGCCAGGAAAAAAACAAAGGACAAAATAAAACAACACAGTGGTCTTTCTAGATTCCTTCCCCCCTCCCAACTGTTGGTCTGCCTTGGCCTCACCCTAATTGCTGTGTCGAGGAAGCAGCTGTAGCATTGAGCTTGATTTCAGGAATTTCTTCTGGCTGCCATGGTATATTTCACTATAAATTACTGTTACAGATTGAAGGTAATTCACTGTGCATCTAAATTATGACACTTTTCTCAGCTGCTTGTGGGAAGAACTTCCCAGACTTTTTCACTTCATGCCATACGTAAAACGTAAGATACTTGTATGGCACCCTGGGGTAAGCTGAGGAGGCTACCTAGTCCAACTGCCCCGTGAGCTCCAGCTGCCCCAGGCCCCACCTGGCTGTCCTGAGAGCTGAGCGAATAAATATCTTGGTATATGTGCTGTGACACACCAGTTGGGCAGGTCTGTTTTAGAGATTTTCCCAGAAATAGAATTAGCAGGAAGGTAATGGGTGTAGTTCAAACCATGGCTCTCTGCAGCTGGGTTCATATAGTATGATCACAGGGCAGTCTTTGCTGAAGCATTGCCTGTCTTTCTTAGATCAAAGGAAGAACTATCCGAGTAGATCATGTGTCTAACTATCGGACTCCTAAGGACTCAGAAGAAACAGATACTGTGACCAGAGAGCTCCAGGAAAAGGGCTGTGGGGCTCACACCCCCTCACCAAATTCATCTGAGGGCTCTGAAGATGAGAAACCCACCAAAAAACACAAAAAAGGTAAAGCCTTAGGACCTAAGAGAAGATTCTGGGTAGTGTTAGTGTTTGATCTTCCTAGCATTCACTGAGACTTGATAATCAGTTCTTAAGTATGGAGGGGGTCAAGGGGTAGGGAACCTTTAATTGGGAGAAAAGAGGTGGTATCAGCAGAAGGCTAATATTTTGGGCTACATTGTGTCCCTTAAAATTCATACGTTGAAGTCCTAACCACTAGTACCTCCAAAAATGACTGTATTTGGAAGTAGGATCTTTAAAGTGGTTATTAAGGGTGGGAATTGCCTTATATAGCTACTTGGCTTCTCAGAGGCACTTTTCTGGAAGGATAGACTATGGTCACTTGATGCTACTGCCAAGGACACTTTCCTTCTGCATGTTCTCCATCTCCTCCATTTTCCTTTTCTCATTGATTGTGCCCCCCCCTTTTTCCTCTCCAGACAAAAAGGAAAAAAAGAAAAGAAAGAAAGACAAAGAGAAGACTGATCGGGAGGTACTGGCAGAGCAAAATAAGCCAGCCTCCTCTTCAACTGCCCGAAGCAAGACGATAAAGGAAAAGGACGACCCCGGCCCTAAAAAGCACAGTGGCAGGAACTCAGAGAGGGGTCAGAAGGCAGAGCCCAGGGAGGTTCGGAAGCGCCACCCCAGCTCCCCCGAGGTCAAGACAGCCTGCCGTGGGGGAGCAGAGGACCGGGAGAGGGAGCCGAAGAAGGAGAAGCCCAGGCACGAGCACAAGTCCTCAAGCAGGAGAGAAGAAAGAGAAGAAAAACACAGGGATCGAGACAGGGGTCGAAGCTCAGACACATATTCCAGCCGGCATGAGGGGCGTTCTGAGGGACATAGTCACCGAAGTAGAAGTAGGAGCCGAGACAGATCACATAGGCCTAAAAAGGCCCGGCACTCCCGAGACCTGGACCCCTCGGATCCCAGTGACCGCAGGCATCACTGAAGCAGCCTGGGCAGCCGCTCACTCGAATTGGAAATGAACTACATTCTAAAAATTCAGTCAAACTCAGTTATGCTTTTACCGTTTCTGTATGTAGAATCTCTGAGGTTGCATTCTTTAATCCCTTGAGTTATTAGAGTTTCAATAGCCGAATGTCCTGGAGTTTTGAGCAGAACCCATTGTCCCTGGGAATATGCTTGGCATTTATCAGAGTGTGTATCCTAAAATATGGCCCTTGACTTTATGACCCCAGTTAATGATGAGATGCCCAGGAAAGGGGAAATACCAGGTAATTCTAGAATTCTAGTCTTTGTGATAGATGTTTAGAACCCTTGCAGTGACCCCTCTGGTTGGCAGGGAGACCCATGGAGTAGAGAAGTGTGGCTTGACGAGGTTTAGACTGCTGGCTGTGAATGTGAAAATGATTCATTACATTAGCTCGCTCCCTCTCTATCCCTTCCTGCTTCTGAAAATTTAAAACAGCTTTTTCTTCTCTGCTGTTTTGGTTGGTATATGTCTCTGCATGTTTTTTTCCTTACAATTTATTTATTTATTTACTTTTATTGAGGTGAAATTCATGTAACATAAAAGGAACCATTTTAAAGGGAACAATTCAGTGGCATGTAGCCCATTCAGTGTTGTAAAGCCACCAGCCCTGTCTAGTTCTAGAACATTCTCATTACCCCACTGTGAAACCCTGTACCCAGTAAACAGTTACTCCCCATTTCCTCCTCCTCGGGCCTGGCTACCACGACTGTGATTTCCATTTCTGTGAATTTACCTCTTCTGGACATTTCATGGGAATGGAGTCATACAGTATGTGGCCTTTTGTGTATGGTATCTTTCACTTAGTATGTTTTTAAGGTTCATCCATGTTGTCGCAAGTATCAGTACTTACTTAATTCTTATTTATGGCTGAATAATATCTCCTTGTCTGGATATACCGCACTCTGTTTATCAATTCCTCAGATGTGGATGGACATCTGGGTTGGTTAGCCAGCTCTCTTTCTTTTCTTTGTAAAAAACTATTTATTGAATTAATTGGGGTGACATTGTTTAATAAAATTAAACAGGTTTCAGATACACAGTTCTACAATACAGCATCTGTATGGTGTGTTCACCACCCCAAGTCAAGTCTCCTTCCATCACCATTTATCGCCATTTACCTTCTATCCCTCTTCTCCTTCCCTCTGGCAGTCACCATACTGTTGTCTGTATCCATAAGTCTTCCTTTTTTTTCTTTGCTTAATCCCTTCACCCTTCTCGCCCAGCCCCCAACCCCTTCCCCTGACAGCTGCCAGTCTGTTCTCTGTATCCAGGAGTCTGTCTCCACTTTGTTAGTTCATTTTGTTCATTAGAGTCCACATATAAGTGAAATCATATGGTACTTGTCTCTCTGAGCCAGCTCCCTTTCCGTGTTCCAGGCACACAGGCTACTTCGAGGTTTAGTCTGCTTTTCGAGTAGCTGCTCTTGCTGAGATGGGTACACTTTGTCCCCTCATTGCATATCTGTCTGGTCTGCTTGGCAGTTCTACATTTTGAGAGTGTTGTCTTTCTGATTTAGCAGTTATTTCTAAGTTTGGTAGGAAGTAGTTCACAGGATCTTAACACCCCTGCTGAATTATCAAAATTGAATTTTTGACCCTGCAAAATAGAGCACTAGAGCTTTAACAACGAATGCACTAAGTTAGGTTACCTGGTGTGTGAGTTTGGCTCCTAGATTAGATGTGCAAGAGGTTTTTTGGGGGGAAATGCCTAAGAGGGAAAATGGGGAGGGAGCTGAAGGAGTCTGGGAAAGCTGTAAGACTGATATAAGTCTGACCTCTGGAGAAGAGAGGCAAGGAAGAGAGAAGGTTGGGTAGGAAAAGTCATACTGCTGTGGAGTTCTAAGAATGTTTCAGCAAGACCAGTGGTGAGTCCTTGAGCCAAAGTTGCCTGTCAGAGGAATCCTGCTAGATCAGCCTTGGTAAGCAGGGCTTTCATCAGCCATGTGACCACTCTGCTTGTGTGACCGTCAAGCCAGTTGTTTGGTACCCACTAATGAAGGCCCATTCACCTGGCTGAATCATTTTGTCTGCTTGGTGGTTTAGAGCCTCTTCCGTGGTGGATGCTCTTTGCTAGGGGTTATCATGTGATGCAGAAATCTTCACACTTTGCCCGCTCCCACATCTCAGTCCACAGCCTTTACATCAGACCTTGTCACTGATCTTCCAGCCCTTTTCCTTCCAGGCTAACTAAAAGGCCAGGCCATTCACTACTGCCCAGGAATCTGTATATTCTGTAGTCTCATGTTAGGCCACTTCTAAACCAAGTCAAGTGCACTGCTTGTGGTTCTGTCCATTGAAAACAATTTTTTCTCCACCCCTTATGGCTGTAATGCAGATACCATCCATCTACATTTTGAACTCACATACTGAGCTGACCCATCTGTAAACCAAGCTGAAGCTGATCTCTGTAATCTGGTCATACAGGAACCCCCAGATATATGAAAGGGGCTACCTCTCTGCGTCTTTTAGGTTTTCAGTAGTGGCACTGATCTGCTCCATCTCCCCTGGGATATTATTTATATATAGCAAGGAATATGCCTTACACAGTTGTGGGGGCTGGTTAAGCAAATTTCATATTTATAAGGCAGGCCGGCAGGCTGGAAACTCTTGGGCAGGAGCTGACACTGCAGTCCACAGGCAGAATTTCTGCAGGGAAATCTCAATTTTGCTCTTAAGGCCTTCAACTGATTGGATAAGGCCCACCCAAATTATCCAGGCTAATCTTAAAATCAACTGACTGTAGATGTTAATCACATCTACAAAATACAGCAACACCAGAATTTGTGTTTGACTAATTGGATGCTGTAGCCTAAGCCAACTTGGCACCAAAAAGTAACCATCACAATTTACTCTTGATGGTGGTAGGGGGCCAGTTTTAGAGGTTTCTGCCTGGTTTTCCTCATTGTGACAGCTTTTACCTCAGTGGTTGAGCATTGACCTAGGAACCTAGAGGTCACGGTTTGATTCCCAGTCAGAGCACATGCCTGCCTGGGCTCCATCCCCAGTGGGGGGCATGCAGGAGGCAGGTGATCAATGACTCATCATTGATGTCTTTGTCTCTGTCTCCCTCTCTGTTCTCCCTGAAATCAATAAAAACATTTAAAAAAAATCCAAACCCAGTGCTTCCTTGTCTCCTGGCAATACCCTCCAGCTAACGGTTGCAGCTCTTCAGTGTCTACCCTTCTTTATCAGGCCCAGGCACTTCCCCAGTCATGCTGTGCTGGAATTTAACCCTATTTATCAGCCTAGTTAACAAGGAGAGGGGCATTGGTGGGTGGGAGGAGCAGCCTCTGCAGCGTCTTATCAGCACAGGGCAAGTGTAAGCTCTTACTAGGTAAGAGTGGCCCCCTTTGCTGAGAGCTGGGTGGGGGTGTCTACAGAGCTAAAACCATCAGGGAAGTCTGACCTGATGTTCCCACCCATGTTTCAGGGTCCCAGGATTTTCCAACCACATGAAGTCATGTGGCCCTGACTTCAGCAAAGCAGACCTGCGACCTTTTAAATACTGAGCATGTCCCTGGAGTTTTGCAACTCTATTAATAATGTCCTCTCATTGCTCAGCCGTGTCTGCTCCACCGCAAAGGGCCTCTTTGTAAACTCCACACAAGCCCACTGGCTCTCACACTTAGTCTTTAGCTACTTATTAACTGTCACCCACTTCTCATTACCCTGCTGCAGGGCAGTATCCAGCCATCCCCACCGTCTCTGTAGACCTTATTCCTCCCATATTTTTCCAAAGTCTGAATCACCACTTCTGCAAGGCCAATCTGTTTTCCCAGGTTATCTCCCGAGAAATCTTTAGCAGTTGGACTGCAACCCTGTGCCTGGGACTATCCATGCCCCACACGCCCCTCAGAATAGTGTCCATTTTGTTCACCAGGCAATGAATGACTGAAGCAGTCCCAGAACCCTATCTCATCACAGCCTTTTTTTCTTGGACCACCACTGGCACCATTTGCGTTAGTTTGGGTTCTCCAAGAAGTAGATGTCAAGATGAGATTGGACATATTAGAGATTTATTAGGGAAAACACCTGGGAGGGAAAATGGGGAGGGGGCCAGAGGAGTCAGGGAGAGCTGTCAGAATAGATGCAAGCTTAACCCCTGTGGAGGACCAAAGGAAAGGGAGTGGATAGGAAGAGTCTTAAACTATGTGGTGCAATTCTAAGAACATTTTGGCAAAGCAAATGTATCTGTTGGGAGAGACAGCCCACCATGGACCCTGAGCATCCCTGCACGTACTTGTTCAGGGTCTTTAAAGCAAGGCTTATCTGTCTCCTGATACTGAGCCATTTCTGTAGGGCAAGTTGACCAGTGTGACTAACATTTAACTGCTCGATCCCCAGGGGAGGGACACTGGTTTGTTTGCTCATTGCTCAAAAAGTCCGAGGCCCTTGACCCCACATTCCTCAGTGGTGTGATACATCCCACTGCATGGGTAGCATCCATCTGAGCCTGTTGCATGGCCCTGGGGTGCCGGAGCCTGCCGGCAGTCGAGCAGTAACCTGATTGAGGGGG